TTATGTCAGTGGCAAGTTTCTTCGTTTACCTGATTCCAGTTTGATGACACTCTCGGCTTTTTCCCACTTCGCGGTGGCGATCGAAGTCCGTTAGGAAGTCCTATTAGCATGCAAAAGAAGGGTGCCCGATTTGGCACGAACGTGCCTATGATTACCGAACTCGGTGGGACTAGGAAATTTTGGCTTATGTTCGAAACTACCATTGATACTGCTTCCAGTGAACGACTCGAATGTGCAGTTTCTTGATCAAGATGACGACGATGATCCTGACACTGAACTGTACCTTACACAACCATTCGCCTGCGGTACTGCATTCGCTATATCAGTGTTGGATTCATTGATGAGCACGGTATATCGTTCGTATGTCTTTTTTGTCACACTTTTAGATCAAAATGTGGTTTGTTTAGACCTACTTCAACGATTCAGCGCTAACGCTGATTCGTACACTAGTAACTGGCGGAGCAACACCAGAACTTGAGTTGATTCTTGCTGAAGGCGCTGGCCTTCGTGGAGGCTATAGCACGCCTGAGACATTAGCAAACCGTGATCGATGTCGGATTGCTCAGATCGCACTTCACGACAATCCCTACGAAGGCATTGGAGTATGTTTTCCAGAGGATAAGTAATGAAAGTCTAGGGTTTTAAAGCTCAGCCTGTTGTCTTTTCAGCACAACTCCACCTATGGCCAAATGTTTACGACATCATTGAAGAAGTATGGTCAATTATGCATTGGTTTGTATCGGTTACACGACCAGGACAACGCCGAATCTGTGAAACGATACGTGATCACAAATCCTCCCGCAGAGCTGAGGATAAGGAGCTCCGATTATGTAAGTTATGAACATATAAACAAAATATATTGGTAAGACAGAGATGTTTCGAGCATATCTGTCAAGCAGTCTATCGACATTCTTTCAACATTTGGATTATGCTCCAGAAAACTTTCTAGAAGAAAAGACTGTGAAGGCCTAGAAAAATCAAATGGCTCTTATATTAAGTTCAAAAGTTCAA